CAGACATTCACTTAAACTTACAAATTTACTCGGACAACCAAACTTACCCAAGACCAGGCGCAATGCCTCACGGTTTCCCTTATCGAATGCTTTGGGGTAATCAACAGCGAGTGCAATGACTGGTGTCACCCTCTGCACTTCTCCTGAAACTGACGAGCTGCAAACATCGTATCAATGGTGCTGAGACCCGAACAGAATCCATATTGCCCTTCCGCAACCTTCGATTCCACAACTTGACTGATGAGGCGATTGAGCAGGATTCCGGCCCACACAACAGCAAGTTGATACCACGATAATTGGGGACACATTGCTTGCTTCCCATGCCCTTGTACACTTGTAGCACAAGGGCATCCTTCGGCTCAGCAGTTTCCTCTTCTTCAATCCACACGCTTTGCACAAACTGGTTCAGCGCATTCACCAACGCAGGTACGTCGCGTTTCAATACTTCAGACGGGATCCTTTCGGCCCCGGCACATTTGCCGTTTCACAGCTGAGCAAGTGCTCTCTGCGCCTTACCCAGTGTCGGCGCTTCCGCCAGACTCACCTCCACATCGTCCTGTCTCAGGCCGTTCAATGCAGGTCAGTCGAGCTCTGAACAGTTGTTCATGAGACAGTCAAATTGTTTTTGCTAAATCTCTATTATAATTGCAGTATTTGTGCAGGTAGCGCCTGAACTACCATCGATCAGCGTCCTCAGCGGCTCCAACCTCCGTCTATACGCCGCCTTCAAGAGCCTGAGAATTCCCTGTGTTGGTGGCGTTCGGCGTATCATTCCATCTGCTTCGCCTTCTCCGTCCCCCATGCATTTTTAATGCGACGGAGCTTTCCTGTCAAATGTCGTCGTCGAATTCTGCGAACCTGACTATTCTTCCCTAAGTCACTGCAGTCTGCCATAAGTGCAGCAGATGCTGCATTCTCCTCAAACACCAATGCGCCAGTCGTCACATTGTTCTCATCAAACCAATCAGGTCGCTTACAGTTTGCGCGCCCGATGGTCTCCTCGTCAGCAGTTGTCATCTGGTCACGAATGTGTTGTCACACGTCGCCCACCGTGGCTATGCATTCCACATCACACAGGCGTTCAGCCATCGCCTTCTCCAGCTCAATACGTTTCTTCACAGTACCGAGGGAGAGAAATTTAAATTTACGCCGATTCACGGCGGGAGAGCAATACAGAGATTTACGAAAATATATGTACAGTTTGGTCCGCACCAACTTGTGATCAGTGACACACTCAGCTCCACGCAGTACAAGTGTCATGCGCACTTCACGTGTATCACGCTGACGTACGATGACATAGTCGAACAGGTGAGCGTGACCACTCCGTGGGTGCGTCCAAGTTGCTATATCACTCGCACTCAGTGCAAACCGAGTGTTCGTGATCCTCATATCGTGAGTGGCACACAGTGAGAGCAACCTGTCACCGTTCGCATTCGCTGAACCAATGCCATGCGGACTGATGACATCTGTCCACACCGATGCATCACGCTCAACACGCGCGTTGAAATCACCCAGCAGAAATGGTCGGTCTCTCCTCGTAGGATAACTGCTTGTAGAACTGATCACACGTCATCAGTATAACACATGGACTGTAAGTGCTTATAAAGGTGGCAAACTTACCTCTTCCGAGTCGTAGGCGAACAGTCATTAATCGCGCGCTGATGCCTGTTGGTTCACCCACCAGCTGGCCATGGAGGCGATCGGATAGTGCAAATCCGACCCCATTTTTACGTGGTGCTATGGTGTCGTTTCCCATCCAGTCGAACGTATAGCCGGCATCTGTTTTAGCGAGCCGGGTCTTGCTTAGCACTGCGATATCGATGTTGTAGCCCGCCAATTCCATCGCTAGCAGTGCAGTGCGTCTTTCGGGGCGGTCACTCGAGTTCCGCTGCGGTAGTGTTCACACCTTGCAGCACCCGATGTTGAGTGCTTTGTGCGCAGGCGTACGATTGCATTGGTGGGCAATCGCACTTGTGGTGGTGGTAGGACTTCGCCTGGATCCTTTGACACAATAGCCTGACCCACGAGGCATTGGGAGGCAGATCCAGCTCGGTAGTGTGATTGCAGAGACACATTGGGATCTGCTTGAGGTCCGTCACATCCTCTTTAAATATCTGGAACAATTCATATGTGTTTTGCAACCGTAGTAGGATACGAACTAGCGGCCACGGCCAAACGCAGGAGGATTTTGGCGGGTTTGGATGACTTTGACTTGGGGCCCGCCTGGTTTGAGTCGGATGGTCGCAAACCATTGAGCACCCGAATGTGCCCTCCCACCGTCAGAGACAATGCGTGGCGCTCGTACTCTACGCCAATCGAGCTGTGATTTTATAACCAGTGGACTTGTTGTCTCCCGTGGCTAGGTTTGATGGGAAGAGGTCCATCGACTACAAAGTTGGACTTGGAGAATCCGCTGGTGATTGGGTTGCTACAAGCAACCTCTATTGAGCAACACTATAAGGTCCATAGACTACTTCATAATCTCCGAAGACGATGGGGTTCGGACTAGGATACTGTCAGGGCACTCACACCTGACAGGAGAACGACTCGGGTCCTCAGTCAAAGCCTTCGACTAGATGTACACCTGAAAGACAGTGGGTCTAGTACATACTCATTTCACTGGCTCATGCAGATTGGTGTGTCTTGGCTCTTAGCCAGAAGAAGGTCGTTACCCAACTCCCACCTAGCAATCAACACGATGATGCGTCTAGGACACGAGTCCACGGCGCAACATTAGCAGCAGTGGGACGATGATCTGTCAGGATCTAGCCAGTACAAGCCTCAACGCACCATAGACTCTCCCGTATATATGGTTGGCGGCATCCGGTTTCGGATTTGCCTGTCACTGTGGCCAGCCACAGGACGCCTGCGCCTACAGAGGGACCATGGATGGCTTGCGCTGCACCACCCACAGCTCTAACCACACACCCCATATCCAGTGTAAACCCGAAGGAATAAGATCGGGAGGCATGCGGATGGGAGCCACGTCACATCAACGGAGCCGGCCCACACTCTTTCACAGACAAACACAAGCACGCTGTAGGTGGGGAATCAAGCGCCCACAAGGCGGTGGCTGGACCGTAGTCCGCTACACACTGAGTGCATGGAACCACTCTTCGAGTCTGGCACAGCCACAAGGACCGTGCACCCCGTCCCCTCCAACAACGACCAACTGTCTCCTGGAGTCAGTATGGACGAGGTAGTGGGTAATAGACAGGTAGGCACCTTGTCAACATGCGCATCAAGCGCAGCCGCACCGGGGATATCAAGCAACAGCCAGTCACTTGAAACGACAAGATGAAATAAAATAAATCGAATAATGCATACAGATATGGTGGCATAACTCTTCGCTAAATTACCATATGAAGTAATTTGGTTAGTGACGAATCCGTGATAAGTAAAAAATGTTCGCAAGTTACTTAAAAATGCTCCAAACGCAACAAAGTTACCGAAGATAGGCGCAACCAGCGTAAGCAACGTGGCCAGTTAATAGAAGATTATTTAGGTAGGCAGAACAAACCAAATAAAGTAGTGTGAAATTTATCCAGCTTAAAAAGACTTAGTTTAAGTGTAAGTTGGTTTAGCCCAACTTCAGTGAAGAAGCATCATGAATGCAACATCAGCCTCAATATGGGGCACCCCCGCATATATTTATATGTATATATATATATATATATATATATATATGTATAAATCCGAAATCGGATGCTGCCAACCATATATACATTGTGTGGAGCTGTTAATCTGTGTATTTTTGTGGACCTGCTAGTCTCTTCTGGTTATGATTGACCAAAACATACTGAGTCCATTCACCGTCACCTTACGCTGTTTACTCTTTATTTTCCTTTACTAATATATAAATATATATATATGTATATTTATATATACAGACTTACCTTAAGAATATATATTCTTTACATGGATAACAAGTATTCCACTTTATTTGATTCGCTCATTTCTGCTATTCCGCTGCTTATTCCTCGTCAGTGTTGCGCGATTATTTTACTTCACATTCTGTATTGGTTTTTTGATATCCGCGGTATGGCTGCGCTTGATGTGAATATTGACAAGGTACCTACCTCTCTGACACCCTCCACCTCGATTACTGGTGGGTTGGGGTACACGCTCCTCGTGACCGGGTTAGGCTTAAAGTATGGATCCATCTTGTGTGGAGCTGGTTACGGCCCAGCCACCACCTTACGTAGATTTGGTAAGCATGATTATCTACTCTGCTTTTTGAAGGAATGTGGACCGGTTCCGTTGCTGAAACGTGGCTCTCATCCACATGCCTCCCGGTCTTATTCCTTCGAGTTTACACCGGGTACGGGGTGTGGGCATGGCTCTGTGGGTGGTGCAGAACAAATCACCCATGATCCTTGTCTATGCGCTGGCGTCCTGTACCTGTCCCCATAGAGGCCGCAGTGACGGGCAAATCCGGAACTGGATGCCGCCAACCATATACGAATCCACTTGAAGCATGCTGGCGCTAGAGCCAGCAAGGCACGCCATGTTCATGCCAGTAGCCTCACCTTAATTTACCTTTTGTCAACCGTGTTCCCATCTGGCATCCTTCTAACCGCGGAATTCATCACTGGACCCTATCTTATTGTCGATGAATCGTTCGCTGCCAGCTTTACTGAGACAGCCCTCTTTTTCCCTCCATGCGCTTCCTACCCCAATCGCAGCAGCCTGGAACTGCGTCACACGTACACGGAATGTGCGCAGCCACGTTGTCTGGCCAACTGCAGTCTCTCACTATACTTCATCTGCCCTCTATTTCCATTCCCCATGTTCGTTATATCAATGCTTATCTTGCTCTTGTAGCCGTGGTATCCGGTTATTGTTTTCTGTGATACCCTGCATCCTTTTTATTTCCCTTTACTCGTGTTTCCTTTTTACATTACCATTGTAACTTTTGTACACGACTTCGCGCAACATGTTAACTAGATGCACCCTGTCATTGCTTTGCGTTTATCCCTCTTTCGATTCTTACTCATCAGCTCATGTTAGTCAACTCAGCGAACTTGCCTTTATCGAACTTGTCGCCGCAGCCGCGCACCCTCTCTCCCCTTCCTCAACATCTGTCACTCCTGCAAGTGGTACGCCATCGACCCAACCTACACGGAAGTTGAGCATTAGAGGTTTGCGTCAAGTAGGTATCTGTTCACTCATCCGTCATCATTATCATACCCATTTTACGATTGATGTCGACCGAGTGCGAGCTAAAAGCGACTCACCAGGAAGGTAACCATGTTTACTTGATCGGCCCTGTTTGTTCTACTGGGAATGTAACACTCGATTTTAAATTATGCACATCCTTCTTTACTTTGTTCCGGTGACCGGCATGTGTGTATCGGGACAAATGACCCTCTCGATCACCGGTATAAAATGAACGACACATTTTCCTTCACCCTTGAATCGCTTTCTTTGCTCGAGTTGATGCGCTTCCGCATCTCATTTCTCTCCTATCACCCCGGCGTGTGTGAACTACGCAACAACTCGTCTTGTTCTGAACTTTCCTGGGAAATTCGAATCACCTAACCCAGCTATCCCACTGATTATCTTTTACACAACTGCTCATGTTGGTAATCTGAATAGCCAACATCAGGTACTTTTGTTACTTCGGTAATCTCACTTTTCTTTCGCTATTCATGTAATTATCCTTGCGATAGAATGTTCATTTTGATCGGTTTTGAAAATCATACTATCGTGCAGCGTAAATTGAATGTTACGCATAGATCAATGCTTCGCCGGCGAATCAACGCCTTAGGCTTCACGAAACTGTGGACACACGGAGATCAGAGAGCTCTATGAGTCGAATCCAATCCCAGAGCAAGCGTTGCGGAAGACGAAGCTGGTGCAAGGCGCTTCACGTTTCGGCATACGCTTCCCGTCTTCTAAATGAAGTGCTGCTCTCATGTAAGAGAATGGTTGCCGTATGCTCATCTTTATAGTGTCTCCACCTCACCAGACAGGCTGCTGTTCGCCCGTATCCTTGAAACAGCGACTTCTCAGCTTAGTGGCGGGTTGTTGAATACTGCAGTATGTTTTGTATCAACACATGATATACACTAACTGCACCCAGTGAACCGATAACAAATCCTCTCTGCTCCATGCTGACTGTGGGGTATTACAGAACCCGGTCCTTCTCCTTTCCCTTTATCTATCCATCCACATTTACTAGACGCAGATGTGACGGTGATGTTTCCTTTGCGTTTTATCGTCACCACCGAGGATGTCTCGATAACTCATGACTAAAAGACAAGTTTGTGAGGTGATCATTATCCCAGTCTTTTGCTCTCAACGCTTCTAAATCTTGTGACCGAATCTTCTCTTTTCTTTATACTGTCAATCTGTGTATTTTTGTAGACCTGCTATTCTCCTGGTTATTTATTGACCAAAACATACTGGATCCATTCACCGTGACGCTACACTGTTTACTCTTTATTTTCCTTTACCAATGTTGTGTGATTAGCAAATCGCGTTTCTAACTGCAGTGGATTGTTCAGAGACTCAATTCGTCAGTTCCTTTTTAAAACATATTCCGATACGTTCATCTGTTTTGTCTTCAAAGTAGTGAATGATCAGTCAACAAATCTTCCGCGTGCACACGTCGTCTATCGTGACACCTCTTCATCACAGTTTCCACAGCCAATGAGCAATGATTTATAACGGGTAAAAAAAGCAGGTGCTTGACATGTCCCGTAGGGTGTTTAGAGTGAAAAAAAGATAGATCAAGGGATAATGGAGTCGTCAGTTCAGGCGATTACAGATTTAACTGCACTGCTGTATAAAGGGAGTTTGAAATGAGAATGTACGCACACAAAGTCCTGAAAGTACTTTACAGTCACACGTCGGGCGAAGTTAGGGCTAACGGCACGCACTCCTCTTCATTCGCTGTGACCAGCGGTGTTCGCCAAGGTTGCCCTATTTCACCTTTCCTCTTCAATTTCGCCATCGAAGATGTTCTCCAAAGAGCACTGGAAGGTGTCCAGGACTGCGGTGTTGAGCTTCTCCCCGGAGATAGACTCACGGACTTGGACTACGCCGATGATATCGCCTTGCTGGGGGACGACCCACAATCCGTCCAGAGCGCTCTGGACCGCTTGGCGATGGAGGCGTCTAAGTACGGCCTATGCTTCACTCCGGGAAAATGTAAAACGCTGCTCCAGGATTGGCAGGTGCCTGAACCCGCGCTCACCATTGCTGGACCTGTTCTGGAGCAAGTCCCTTGCTTGACTTACCTAGGCAGTTGCATCGCGGCTGGTGGCGGTGTTGGAGATGAAGTCTCACAACGGATCGCAAAGGCCCGCCTTACATTCATCAAACTGAGACATCTATGGCGTCGTCGTGATGTCAGTCTCAAGCTCAAGGGCAGGGTGTACAATGCTTCCGTCCTTGCAGTACTCTTGTACGGCTGTGAGACTTGGCCTATTCGCTCGGAAGATATGAAGCGGCTATCAGCCTTTGATAATCGCTGTCTACGAATGATTGCTAGGGTGTGGTGGCAACACCACGTAAGCAACGCAGAGGTGAGAGACCGCGTGCTTGGGGCGAATAGTGCCAGTCTTTAAGACGTTATCCTCCGACATCGCATGCGCTGGCTCGGGCATGTTCTGCGCATGCCAGCCCATCGCCTTCCACCTCGAGCGCTATTTGCACTCCCAGGGAGCGATTGGAAAAAGTGCCGCGGCGGACAGCCGATGACGTGGAGAAGGAGTATGAAGAAGGCGACCTCAAGTTTGGCAGCAGTCGGACCAATCCGCCTCCCAGGTTGGGGACCACGAGATGCTGAATTGCAGTGGTTGGAAACATTGGACGTCATGGCCCGCAACAGACATCAGTGGCGGCAATGTTGTTCCGCAATTTCACCATCCCTCTGATACACACAAAAACTCACAAAACAAAAAATACAAAATGGCATGTGTAAAACCAAAAAAATCGTTTCCCATATTTTTTAATCGCATTAGTGTTCCCATCTTCTTCACCTTTTTCTTCTGCCGTGGTTCTGATGGCATATATATATATATATATATATCCGAGGTTATCTTGAACTATCACGCCGAGATCGCACTCGTGAGAAACCCGCTGTAGAATTTGTGGTCCTAGGCGGTACTTGTGCATACTCGTGTGCCGTATGCTGAGAACTTTGCACTTGGTGAGGTTGAAGTGCAGCATGTTCTCGATGGACCATGTGTACGCATTGTCCAGGTCCTCCTGTAACACTGTGTGATCTTCCACTGCAGCTATACTACGCCATAGATAGCACGCTAGCGAGATCATTTATGAAAACCAGGAACATGCGGGGTCCAAGTACCGAGCTTTGAGGTATGCCGCACTGAACTTCGATGGATTCCGACAGGTTGCTTCGAACCCTCACATTCAGGTGACGTTGCACGAGAAAGTCTCCTATCCAGCCCAGAACAGCATCACCGATTCCATATTTCTGGAGTTTGTGGAGGCGAATACGATGGTCTATACGGTCGAATGCCTTTGAGAAATCCAAGTAGGCCGCCTCGACTCCTACACCAGCGTCCACAGATTCCGTCCAGCTTGCACTAGCAATCAACAGATTAGTGGTGTAGGTGCGATTTTGGCGAAATCCGTGCTGCTCCGGAACGACAAATTTGTGGTTCTCCAGGTACCCCATCAAAGCCTCCATAACCTTGGAGATCACAGAAAGGAGTGTTATCGGGCGATAATTTGCTGGTTCAGCACGACTGCCACTTTTGTAGATTGGCGTGATGATTCCGTGCTTCCACATCGTGGGGACGTGCATCTCGTTCATACATTGTTGAAAGAAAATTGCTAGTGGTCCTGCCAAACTCATGGCAGCAACTTTCAACGCCTTCGGGTGAATGCCATCCGCAGCCGGGCAGCTGAACTCGCGCAGAGACATCAGCCACTTCAGTACAGCTGCGGAGGTGAATGATATGTGATTAAGTCCTGATGGCGGCGTTATCTGTTTAGGCAAGATGTTTGATGATTGCACGCTTTGGAAGGTACGACCAAATTGTTGTCCAAGAACGCTGGCCTCCTCTTTGCGGTTTGGGCTAACCCACATGATGTGTGCAGAGCAGGAATACCGCGCTTAACACGGCGCCACTTGTCAACTCAGTGAAGATACTGTCCCTGCACTGCACGGTTGTGCGCGCTCTTTGCTCGCTTGTACATTTATCACATGACAATGATAGCATTTTGTTTAATTTGACTTGTTTAAGCAACATTCGATGACTGGACTCCTTCAAATCTCGTATCAATACGCGTAACCCATTCAGTTCAGCTCAGTTAAACAACTATAATCTGAGCGATGATGTGCGGTGGATCCTGTTGCCTAGACTCGCGTCTTCGGGACAACAACAAATAACAATGACGATCAATGACGAAACGAAATTCAGAGCGAATAAAGACAGTAGGAAATCAGGGAAAAGGTACGTAAAACTAATCGGAATGGAATAAATATTAGCAGATAGATGCTGCGTTGCCACTGACTGAGCGACCGTGCCATGTGTTAGAGTTTTCAACCATTAATGTGGACTATTTCGGGACCTCATCCATGAAGACAGCGCGCACCAACCTGATCAAGTCTCTCAATCAATTTTTTTTCATCACTTTATGTTACATCATCGACCGGTCACCTCGAGGTTTCCACAGACTTGTTGCGGCGACTGCGTGTATGCACGTGAAAAAGGCGGTCAACGAGCTGTTAAACTTTAGCAAGCACTCCATTAAGGCACCAGAGGGTTTCTTGCCAAAAACCAACTAGCAGACCTCAGCATTGTTCACCCGGTGTTCCCATCAGATGTGCGCAATACTCCGCAGGTCCCGGTGGCCAAACACAGCTCAGAGCTCAATATCTTCACTACAAACTAGCAAATTCTCTGATCCATACAATAACACCAGTCTTCTCGCACCATTGTACATGCTACCTTTCATTAAAAAGTTGATATCCCGCCGTATTCATAGCTGGTTGGGCTTCTGGAAAGCCACACAGACCTTGCTGGTACGCGAACTAACCTCCTCGGTGAAGTGAACCAATCCATCATTTCCAGTGACTAATAAGGGCTAGTTATAATCAGTGGTGTATCGACCCGGCCCTGCAACAATACTTTGCACTTTGAAGATACAAAACACATGCGAAAGCGTGCAGCGTTGCGCTTCAGTCTATTCGCTAGTGCTTACTTAATCACTGAGTACGACTCATGGAGAGCTATGCCGTCTTCGTACTCAAAGTTTGTTCGTCGATCAGATGACAGAACGTCCACCTCAGTAAAGTCTTAAATAACGGAGTCATTCATGGCCATTTTAATCACAAAGTCAAAGCAAGAAGACATAGAACAACCCTGGCAAACCCCACTTGTCACGCGGAACTCAGGAGACAGCTTCCCGTAAACTCCAACCCGGCTTTTGTAATCGCAGTACAAGTACTTCGGTGTTCAAAATGAAAGCGAACTTTAGCCTTAACTTTATTGGTTATTGTAGGATATTTCAAACACCGTCCTCCTCAAATTAGTCCACTTTGCTGGCAATCCACCGTTCCCAACGATGCTTCCATTTTTGGAAGACCTGAAACACACTGTATGGAATGGCGTGCAGGTCTCTTGTCGCATTGTTCTGAATCTCCACTATCGTTCAGAAACGACGTCCTTTCAGCGCAGTGTTAATTTTGGTAAATAGGAGAAATTCTGCTGGGTCTAAGTCTGAAGTATATGGCGGATGGGGCACAAGGGGAGTTTGGTATTTTGCTGGTTGGCTGCGGATAAGAAGCCATACGTGAGCCGGCGCATTGTCATGATGTAACATCTTAGTCTGATTTTCCCACAGTTCAAGCCTCTTCCTGCGTATAACATCCCTCAAATGCGTTAGAATTCCATAGTAGACTTATTTACTACCTGACCACGTACAAATTCCTGATGAGCAATGCCATTGCAGTCAAGTAACAACTAATATCGCCTTGATCGTTGACCGACTCATGCGTGCTTTTTCCAAATGAGTAGGCTCCCCATCCACTGCGAAGACTGCACTTTCGTTTCAATATCATAGCCATAAACCCACGTCTCGTCGCTTGTGATGGTGTTCTTAAGGGAGTTTTCATTGTGATTGGCCGTGGCAAGCAGTTCGTGGCAGATTACAATACGGTTCTGGTTCTGACCGTCAGCAATGACGGCAATACTTCTGCACCGCCACGACGCATCTCGAGTTTGTCACTCTAAAATTGATGGCATGATCCTACGCACTTCGTTAGCGATTTCTACTCATAACGATGTGAACTCTCAGCTTGTTCAACGTCTGTTTATGTGGAAGGTCGTCCTTTCTTGGTATCCTCTTCTACCGACATTCTTCCTTATTCGAACCACTCAAACCACTTACTGCACTGCGTGCAACTCATACAATCATCCCCCACATGCTTGGCTAAGCAACTGAAATGTCTCTGTAACAGTTTTTCCTGGTTTGTAGCACAATGTTGCACACACGCGTTGTTCTTCAAACAGCTTGTACACATGCTTACTTCAGTGGTTGTAGACCGCAAACTAACTTTCACAGCGAGACGCGACAAATAGCAGTTTGTTGTCTATGCAGGCCTCTACGTGTGCTCTGTAGCCACGGCGTGCTAGCTCTACCACTTGGCTCTTTACTCCAAAAGTTAACTTACTTTTTGTTCACATTAGTATTTGAAAGCAGAACGGGGCTTCTCGGACACATTCCAAGCATAGGCGATACCATAAGTTCGAACGACCTGCTTCACCATAAGAGGCTTTCATGTCAGGTCCATCATAGTGCATTATCGGTTGCCGTTCCAGCATTGGTCGGCATGTTCATATGTGATATATGCATCCCCTATCGGTCTTGAACTGTTCTTCAAAATGCTTCACCCAACGGCTTAGTCTACCTGTCAGAGAGTGGATTAGCTGCCCACCTTTATCAACCAATGTCTCATTGGCAATCTTCTACTTGATTTCTAGATGGTTTTCAGCAGTACGTGGATGTTCCTTATCGCACCGGCCTTGTGCACATCAAGGGCGCTTGTCAAACTCACCAGCGGTCCAAATCAGTTCTAAAACTTATCTCTGGACTTGGTTTCGTGGGATTACGTGCGCTGTATTGAATTTCCGAAGAAACCAATTTCGGTCAAGTCAATTCACGATAGTGCTTTAGGCACGCGGGACGGGTGAATGTTCAGTTATAGTACACACTTTCGACGATGTTGCACCATCTAATGTGACTCAAAAAGTTGGATTGATAGATGAGAAATCACAATATCATCATAACGTAAACTGGTTGGGTAATTTTCTGACGACTTTGTTATGGTCTAGTTAAAGTTGCGCTAAAAAATGAATAGCTTATGATCAACAACCTCGTTTTTGGGAATATATGGACTTGTACTGTCCGGTTACCGAAGTCGACACATATTCCTGTAATATACGATGATGGGGGTGACTTGTGCCGGTAAGTACTCTTGACGCTAGCCTAACATGAATGAACACAAGTCTATGAACGAAAGTCAACTTTGACACAGCGCAACAAATGTGTTAACGGCCTGGAAGAACAGGCAGTGACAAAATGATGTATCAAATCACGGGGGTAGCAAAGGAAGCTCGTAGACGTGAGTCGTTAAGCGGTAGTCTGATTTTTGTGAATAATTCGCTCATATGATGTGACCATGATAAATCGTAGTTTTGCATGGCACCAATGTAATTTACTGATGTGTAGAAGTGCAACTGCTCACCATTGATTCGGAGTTCCGGGCGCTGCTGGAGATGTTGTTGATATCGATATTTTCTGCGTACTGAAAGAACGACTTCATTACACTTTGACACGTTAATCGACAACTCGCGGGTTTTCGATTAAATCGTGAGATCGTTAAGTATATTTTCTAATTTGACTGCAGAGGCAGTGGTCGATTGATTGATGCCCAGGACAATCTCATCAGAGTACTTTAGCAGAGTTGCCTTCCCAGGGACTGGTATTGAACTGAAACGTGGAAAATGGAATTGGTGATAGAATAGCTCCCTGAAGAACACTGGTGTTTGTGATTAGGAGCGAGGAGCTTCTGCCTTCAAATCTGGTAACCTGAGCACGACCGGTAAAATCATCCAACACAAAAGCCATGAAAGGATGTATTCCAACACCTAGTTGATATTTCAACAGCAATTCGCTGTTTGCGCAGCCAAATGCATCGTCCTAGTTCAGAAAACAGACTCCGATGAGCTTGATTCTTTTGCCCGGTGATGACAACCGAGTGCAAGTGGCAGGCTACTGCGTCTTGGCTGACCTCGCACATTGGTAGGCATATTGAAGACAATCATTTTGCCGCTTTCGTGGCAGTGTCCTCTCAAGAATGATTTTTGCGAACTAATCGTCGTTAGAATGATCTATCCACAATTGTAACTGTCCAACGTCAGCGGACAACCGGCGTTAGATACCTTCACTATGACACATCCACTGGTGTTCCGTGAATCTCTTCCGCCTTACCTGTCAAGCCTCTTGTCTCATCAACAATGCATTTTTTCGCATGGACGTCAGTAAATTCAAACAAGTAAGGCACTACATAGGTCCAGTCAGATGTCTTGGGCCACGGTTACTCAACACGAGTCTGCGATTCACAAACCATTCGTCCTATACGATGAGATTCTACCAGGGCTGACTCGTAATATCAGTCTTTCTTTTCCGGCGTCATCTCTAAGGTTTTGCGCCACCTTGATGCACATTTTGCCTTTTATTTCCGCTCACTAAATGTGCTAAGCTTATTTGATCTTTCTATGCTTACGCTAAGATAGTTCCCACAATACCGCCTTCCCTCTTGCCAGGGGTGTATGTTGTGCTTAACACCGTTTTTCTTACCGAACCTTGGTTTATACTTATTGATTACCGGCAATCCCTGTTTTCGTCTTTCCATTTAGCACATTCGAGCTATTGCTGCTGCTTCACCCGGTCATTTGGGCTCGCCTCGCGGTCGTCACCTCACCCATTGGGACCGAAAACGTGTGGCTTTCATTAACTGGCTCCAGTCTGAGTTGACTGCTCTTATCCCCTCTCCAATGAACCTCCCGTTACATGAGGTGTTTTATGGCCCAAGGAATCCCATCAACCGATCGACAAAGTTGCCTTCTCATCCGAACATCCTATCTGTGCGCCGACGCCTCAATCCACCCTATCAACAGTGTCTCCATCAAGCGTTGTCTGACCCCGGGAATTATCTACAGGTTTGTACCCGTTTATTACCCTTTGGCCTAGCATCGTTCTCATTCTTCCCTGCTCCTAATGATGTTTCTTGCTTTACTTCCAGATTTCCGAGTACCAACTGGATTCGCCGGATAGCCTCAGTTCCTGTTTGCCAGATCTCTCTATTCTGTACAAGTTGCATTTAGGTTCCACCAAATCGATCAATCTCTACGACTGGCTTGTGGTAAGCATCTTATTTCATTATCAATCATTAAATCTCTTGTCGATCTTTCAACAGATAATAAATTTCTCCGCTCCTTCTGTCCATTGCCACTTTGATTCTCTCTTGTGATCGGTTCGCATAAATCGCACCAACACATTCTTGCATCTGATTGGTTACCTTGCTTTGCGTTTACCTGGGTTTTCCGCAGCGCTTGTGCACCATCGTTGTGTCCTGTACATTGAATCCGCTGCCGCGTTGGTCTTCTGCCTTTGCATGCAAAACATTTTCATTACCCCATTACACTAGCGCTCTGTACAAGTGTTTGGCTACAATACAATTGCAAGCAATTGTACGCCAGCTGATATGATACTGCCTGAGTGCCCAGACAAGAACGGGAAGTTGAACCGGGAACGAAAACGTTGCGAGTTATACATCTGATCCAGCAGAACACAAATTCCTCCTACAAACTCATTTCGATCTGTTGACCACTGTGCCTTTATCCCACAAGAATTTGTTCGATGTCTTGGGTCTGATACAATCAGTTGTTCTTACTCCGGGCATCAGCGTTCACTAAATCCAACTGATATGTTTCATGTTGTTATTGTAAAAAGAAAAATAGCACCACAGGTGGAAAATGTTGTGGGGCTCGCATCGTCCCGCCGAAGTTGCACAGAGCTAGCTTCCTTAGCAAGCTCAACGACTCAAACTGCGCAGGTTGCAGACTCCTAAGCTCCCCTCAGGGACGCTGCTGTGGCTCAAGTCACAATTAGTTGTGGACGTTATAGTTGTCGCAGCTGTCCTAATCGGAACAGTGGAATACTTTTCACTGGTGGTACCCCACGTGTAGAATTATCAATTGAATTCGGATCGGCGTAGCCCAAGCGACTTAGAAGCCAGACATGCTTAGACGGGAGCTGGGACTGGAGACGAAACCGGTAACCGCGCATGACTGTACTCGAGACCAAAGCACTAAAAATTGGCGGAGAGCAAGAATACGTTTGCTGACTCAACCAAAAGCAATCATGCTCTCTGAACTTATGTAGTGTGGACTGAATGGCATAGTAGCATAATGTCTTGACTACAGAGGAAGGTGGATGCTAACAAGGCACTTGAGGTGCTACGTGGTGGCAATGTCTTGGGGAACATTTAGCTGTGGGAAGTGTCTTAAATCTGCAGCTAAAATGGCGTCACTGGGGACGCTTAGATGAAGTGTATGCGGTTTGCGTCGACACACATAACAACAGTTTCGATAACGAGATCAGTTGTAATTTGCATAGTCCGAGTTACCACACAGCAACAGTATTTCTTTTTTGCTAAGAAGACGAGTGCTGCAGCTGAAGTATTTTGGCGATAAGCCTGGGCGGTTTCGTAAACCACGATCCAACAGAATGGGGTTAGAATAATGCAATTCTCTTCATTTGCTACCATACTTCTCAAATTTTTTTTATTTCTAGATCCCTTTTTATTAAAAGGTCGCACGGTAGATACCACTGAAATATTGTTAACCACTAGAACACAGCCTCGTTCATCCACATTGCGTCTTTGCCAAGCCTAGCTTTCTTCTTAGAAGGAGTTTTCCGCCGGAATATAAAATAGAATGATTGCGTCCAGATGATTTTAACGGAATTATAACATTTTGATGAAATGCCGTTGATTCCCTGAGATTGTTCCACATACCACACTTTAAAAGGCTCTAATTTACTTTTTTCTGAGCAGTCGTTTTTGTTGTTAATAATTGTGGGGTCTTCGCAGCAGCTTTCAAGTCAGTTCTCCAGGGGTTCTCAAACCTTTTTGGCCCGCGGACCCCTTACAAGTGAAACCTTGCACGGTGGACTTCATGACATGTTATTAACCACAGGAAAATGCTTTGATAAAATGAAATTGAGGCGCAGTGTCACTGAAACGTTCATTACTGTTCATTGCGTTAAAAGGGTTCATTACTGTTAGTAAAAAGTGAAAGCTGTTGAATTTAGGTGGAAATACAACATACATTATGGCTTAACTTGTGGGACGAAATGGTTTCTCACATGCAGCTCTGACTCAGTTGATATTTGGTATTATTGAGGAAAGCTACAACCTCATATCTGGTTCAGCTTCAAGTCTATTGCGCTACTTTGTTTAGGTGTGGACGTACTGTGAAAATGCACTTTCACACAGATAAGTTGTGACAAATGGGAGAAGCACGGCGACAGCTGTCTTCGCTGACAGGGTACATGCGCTTCGTTTTACACCGGTAATCAGAGAGCGATAATTTGTGAAACTCTTCCTGAAGTAAAGAATCTGATATCATGTGAATTATTTTATCCTGCTGGGGAAACACCAAGACAAGCCTTTTGCCAAAACTTCCAGGTGCTGCAAAATTCCCTCATACCGATCCTCGGTGGTCTCTGTGCTTCCTTCATCTCTTCTTGAATGTCTTTTAATGCCGGAAACCTGCCAAGATCCCCACTACAAACAGAAATCGCCAAGCATCCTTCAAAACCTCGAGTTTTATCATTTGCATTGAATATGGTTGCAGTGCTGCGGTTACGTTAATTATTTTCGCGAAAATATCGGACAAATAAGCAAGTCTTGCCAGCCACTTTCTGTCAGTCATCTGGAATTGTACAACAAAATGGAGATCCATGAAGAAAGCGAAGATTTCTAGGAAATGCAGTAATACACTTGTGAGTGAGACGTCTTACATCAATGTGGATCGGTAAAGATGTGTGAACCCTTCTGTTGTTACTCAGAATCTTGAACAGTCGGCTGTTCAGAGGCCGAAGTTTATTAAATTAATTATTTTTACTGCATCGTGGACAGTTTTGGGATTGTGTGGCATTTTTCTTACGGCTTGTTGGTTGCTAAAGAATACATCGACTACTTGTGCAACTTTTTGCAACCGTTTTGATTCCTGTCACAACACCAACAAACTTTCCTCTCATTGGTTTGGCGCCATCAGTGCAATTATCGATGTTTGGTCATGAAATGTCGTTTCTGTGCATAAAATTATTCAGCGCCACTAGCGTTCTTCGGTAGAGCTTCCCCTAATAGTATGTCTTCTTCCAGGGATAGTAGGTGTTGTTGTATTCTATAAGCACAATCAGCACAGCAAGTTCTGCCACATCTGTCGGCTCATCCATTTACAGAGCTAATTGAGTATACCTGATACGTGAGGTTAACCCCTCCTTGACAGCAGTCGCTTGTGTCTTAATTCTTCGAGATGCCGTAACATTTGCTAGTTATTTTGCTGATTTTTCATCCAGCATGCACTTAGTCATATCGACTGCACATAGTTTGATAAGTTTCCCGGATATTACATGAGATTCACCTGTCAGCACAGTATGATAACTAACTATGTAAGGTGCTTCAGCGGCCTTTTCATTCACAGTCTTAACTACGTGAAGCATGTACTTTTGGGTGTTCAGCAGTTCATCTCGCCTGCGCTCAAAGTACTCCTTTTATCAGTCTTTACAGTTTGCATGTATTTTTCAGACTACATATTTACAGGCATCAGGGAAACTTTTGGAAGCACTTTGTTACACAAGACACTGTGAGCCATTGCTAGACTCCATAAGTCCATAAAAGAATAATGTCACTATATTTACACCTTTACCTACTGCTAGTACAGGTAGTACAGGTACATCGAACGTCTCAGTTTCTACATTCTACACATTAGGTGGCTCAACCATTCTTACATCTGAATTCGACGATACATATTTCTGTCACACATTCAGCATTGTTTCAGTCTTTTGTCAACAGTCCATGTTCCTGTTGTATGTCCGTGCCGAAATAGGAATAAATAACTCCACACAAGAGTCCAGAACACAGCTCTACTTTGATGACAGATAAGTTGGACTTTGAATGAAGTGTAAAATAAAGTACAGAAACAGCCATCTTTTTGAACATCACAGACAGTTACTCTCCATTTCTCAAAGTCACGCGAGCACACTCCTCAAACACAAAAATATCCATGTTTTTTTCGGACTTCTGTGGATGGGAGCACTTCAATGGGTTCCTCTTTCTGGTTTGCTGATTTCGAAGGATAGCAGCTTAAGAAATGGCTGCCAATATTATGATTTACTTTTTGTATCCTCCCAGTGGACAGAGCTTGGGTTATATGAGCTTGCGCGGGCGTAGAATGATCTATCCAGCCTCTGCCCATGTCATCACCGTGAGATTATCACACTACCTTCTTGATATTTGAAGCTTTGTTCATTCTTATTTTAAGCCTGCTCAGATCAAGTTCCTTCTTGGATGGTGTATCTTTCACTTGGGCCATGCACAAGTCTATGATATGATTTAAATTTTCACAGCAGGTTTGTCAACAACCTATAAAATAGAATGGGTACGCCCAAAAGGTTTTCTCAAAATTCCGCGGACCACCTGATAGTTGTCAGCGGACCACACTTCGAGTAACACTGATCTAAAGTGTACGCTGGTATTTGGAAGCAGGAGACCGCTTGCAATTGCAGTTCAAAATAACTGACCAGTCACCAATTATCCATGCACCTGACTATTGTGAACCCAGATGCTTTAACGCACCTTGATAATGGTACATTTAAATCGGCCTTTCCGCTGAACATCATGTTTATGTTATCTATTGCCGATATATCAGTTTTGTTGTGATACCAAGATTCGTGGTTTGTTGCTTTTTACCGCTAAATTTAGGTCAATTATGAAGAAAGATTTTTGTGAAACTATGTCGGCTGGTTACAAACCTAGAGAATTCTGTTTAGCAATGTACGCTCGTTACACCATGCTGCGGATCCTTTTACTCCAGTGACACCAGTGCACTCTTTTCTCTTTTGTTTATCCATTTGTAAAATTTTCGATTTTTGACAATGTCATTTCGGTTCATCTGCAGCTGATAATGTGAGGTGCTAAAACTACACCCACTTAGGTGTATACTGCTTACCTCGGCTTGTCTCTAAGTAAATATTCCTTACTTGGAAAACTCGCAAGAAGAGGAATCAGATCCATTCCTGGGTAATGACCACGAAACTATACTGTATATTTGGGTAAATTTAAAACCAGAAGCCAGAGAACGACTCCAATCGCGCCACTAAAGGTTGAATGCCTTGCATCTGTTCGGGCTTCAAATCATTGATGCTCCCTATCCTGAGGTCATGTCCACGAACCGAAAATGTTGGCTCCATGGACTGTGGCTGTGCGAAGACGGGATACAGTGAAACTGAGACTAGACTTTTGCTCACCCATTTGGAGCCGTAATCACAAAGGCATGTGATGCTTTGTTCTTGTCTTGCATTGTTACCCATCGGTTGCACCATTAAATCTTAGGATGCCTCTCCATTCGCCTTTTACTAGCAACCCTGCATATTCCAAGTCTATCGATCGTTCTAGTATGTAATGTCACTGTGAATGACTCGTCAAGTCATTCCATGACCCAAAAGTAATCACAGCGATAGTTCTGGTCTTGTGAATACACTAGAGTCTCCTTACGTCACAACCCATTTTCCACCACGCGGATATTTTGACTGAGTTGGGTCAAGTTTTGCCGTGTCCATCGGAATTTTTCTTGTATGCTTCCATCTTCGGTGCGTTGAATTTAAAGATCATTCGACCTTGTATATTCCGTTACAGTAAATTCTTTTTTGGGCGAATGTATGATTTTGTGTTTTCTTGGCTGATAAGAGAACGGGCGGATCCCTTCTGACCACTATCTTTGTATTGAGTGTCCAAAACATCTGACCGAAGAAAGTGTATTAGTACAGCAGACCCATCACCGAACAAGATGTCACAGGCGGAAAAAGGTAAAAATCAAGAGCCTTGACAATACATTAAAAGCGCGAAAATATTTTCATAGGTAGGTGGCGTCACAAAGTGTTTATCTGTTTCGCGGCATCATCGGCAGAAACAGCGTTTTCGTAGGGCAGGAAACATCAGTGTTCTAGGTGTAGGAACACATTCTTCCAACACTGCCCATTTGTATTTGGAAGACACGTTCTGTTTCGTATTCTGTGCATGGTTGCAAATCCCCATCACTGTCTATAGGAGCATCTGGTTTTTGGTTTATAGACACGCTTTGAATTATTTTAGGTTCGTCTTCAATCAAATGGTGCGGTCTCGGTTGTTAACTGCTCCTTTGACAACGGCCCACCTTCGGAAAAGTGTAGCCGCTACCGCTGTTAACTTTGTCCCATCTGTTCTTAATATCTCCTGACAGACATATACTAACTACAAAACCGCCTCACTAGTTGTTATTTCTTCCTGCTTGCACTGATTCTTACTTCTCATATTCTGATCTAACTCTTCAGGCGCAAAGAGACTTAACGTGGTGGGACGGTTTGCGTACTTCGTCGACCCATTGAGTTAAATTCGATGAGACCCTTGGGCCCCTTGAGAGCTATTCCTACCAGGAAGCAGACGAACTCAATCTGCTGATCCTTCAGGTTGAGGTTGGAAATGCGATAGCGTCCATTTCTGTAAAACCGGATCTATGCTCTTGCATTATCTCAGTCCATGCCTATTTCCTTAGTTCACATCTCCAACGGTCAACGCACGTACCCTGCGACCGCAATTCAGTTCAGTTGAATTCACTTGGGCGCTCATTTCCCAAATACCAACGATCGACGAGCTCATTTACCTTGACCTACACTGTCATGCCAGTGAAATCTATCGACCGTTAAGGTGAATGGGAAGCCTAAGTCAGCACCGAAAGTTCACGAATGAATTTAGAACTTCGAACATGTGGGTTTACAATACGAATTAAGGTACTAGCTGTAAGATTTCGATGAACTTCTCTACTCTGCCAAGTCTTGGGAAGTTTCTGAGCACTGCTGTACTTGTTCCCGTCTGCCAGTCCGTAGCGCTTGTAAAGCGGTTGGCTCCTGCCGAGAGAAGAACTATAACATAATTTCTCTCGAACCCTTAAAGAAGTTGGAACATTCCTACTCCGCTCATTGTCATAAACTCCCCAACACGAGGTCACCGTATTGCGTTTCCAGAATAGTGAACTTTCTGCCATGGGCCTTTCATTTACGTGCTACCATCCGAATAAAACCTCGTCTCCAGACTAGCAAGAAGTATCGTGTTAAGCTTTGCATACACCAGGCTCTTCTATTATTGCTATACCATTAAGTCATCCTATTTTCCATGGTCAACAGGCGTCTGTCGGTTTTTCGTTAGATTTCTGTTTACTGCTCATTTGTCAGTAGATCGAGTGATTGTGTTTTAAACTGCCAGAAACCTCGCCATTTGCATAAACTGCCTCCACCATTTTCAGTCTCCTCCACACGCTTTTCGTGGTGTTTCATAAATATCCTTTTCTACTTTTAGGCATTTGCATCAGTACTCGGTGAAGATGTTTTTGAAAACAGTTTGCCTTCCAAGACCACTCAGTATGTTTTCCTTCTTGACTCCATCCGTCTCATCCGACTGCTCGTGCCTTGGTCGTTTCCTCCCTTTTTATGCATTACCTAGTTTACATTCTGTGGTCATGTGAACTATCAGCTCACCATACCATTTCCGAAATGGAGCTCACCACACCATTTTTGTACTCAGGAACCCTTATCATCACTGCTTGAAGGACTTGATCACTCATCTTGTGCCACAGCTTGCGTCTCGCTTCAACATTATCGTTATAAGAACGTCTTGACTTGTGTTTTTGCCTTTAGGCCCCCTTTGGTCTGACTCTCGATATTGACTTTTTGGGTTGTGACGACTTATTCCCATCCATGCTCTTCGCTCACTGGCGAGCGTCCCTCACAAGTCCCCGCCCGTTTCGGAACATCAACTGATTTCCTAAACTACTAGTCTCTACCGTGTGACGTGTGTGACAACGCGGAATCTCAGTCTCATTGCATAGGTAATGGAAACACTGCGGCATCTCCTCACTGGGTATCAGTAGTCTGGCAATACATGTCCCGTAGTGCACTGGTCGACGGCCTTACGCAACATCACCTGTGGACCAGTTCACCATACTAGCGGATCACAAGGTCAGTGGCGTGTTACTCGATGACACTGCTCGCATGGAAATCGCAAAACACTATCAAAGTTCTTTTGCCTTACTAAAACTTTCGGGAAAGAATCAACCACCATTGTTCCAAAACTGTGATTGTTTCCATTTAACCATCTCTCCATCATCCGTACTTTCAGTATGGCAAACGAGTTTGTCACCCGGATGGTAACGAAAGGTCACTCTCTTCAACACATGGATCTAACCAAACTCTGTAACGATGCACAATAATTACCTAATGGTAGCAGCATTGCTATTTTCCGCTTGCTGCTACATGACGTTGGGACAGTTTTGTGACAAGTCACCATTCTGTTGCTCTACTCCAAGCCATCGAATGAAGCGGATTTATTCACATACCCAACCGGAAATTTGTTCTCGCGTTCCGCTGCATTTTTCCCTACTCAAAACCGCCCAATAAGCACGTCTCTCCGCTTCAATGCACCACCCACACCAGACTCATCCGGTCGATAGTGACACACGGCTTTGTGTGCCCCATCCGTTTTTCTCAGAAATTGGTTCGTTTACTCGGAAGAAGACAAGCTAGCAGACGCGCACGAAGAAGTGGATGATAGGAACGGTATTGGATTATGTAAGAGAAACACCACAATAAGATCTGCTTCCCACGGACTCTTGTGAGCGGATGATGCTGTCCGTCTGCTCATTCTTATAGAGTGCTTTTGCTTGAAGTATATTGACTTGAGCCTTTGGTTTAACAGCCTGTAGTGGGGAACAGCTCCACCAGGAGATTCTGCTTGCCGAGTCCCCTTGATCCTGCACTCACGACCTATTGCAGATGATATTCAGCCGCCTTGCACTCATTTGACCAGGGTCTGCTTGACCTCAGACAGGCGGTAGACCACCGTAAGAGACCGCTTGTATTTGACCACGGTTGATTTCCAAGTGTTACTCTTATCTAACACGTGCACTGACTCAGTAGTACCGAATGCGCCAGTTGGTGTTTGATAACAAACCCTCCGTTGCCTCATTGGAAGTGTTCATGTTGTACCCAAACCGCTTAATCATGTCTGCTGGTCGACCACCTTAACATGTATTTGGTGTTACATTCGGTTAGATGCCGTGGCATAGGGGCATTAGAAAACGTGCCAAAATCTGCGCTACATTGTTACCTGTCATCATTGCTGAACGAGGACTCATGGTCATCCGTATCGTTAGTTGGATACCCTACCGGATTTAGGGGTCAACCGCTGGCTCAGTGGCGCTCACATTTTTACCTCGGACTCCTAAATTTCCATTCGTCTCTTCTCACTTTTTGCTTTCTTCCAAATGTTTTCGCTTTCCTATTTCTATCCCTTTTTAACATCGCATCGTTAACCCATTGTTGATCTTTTTGGCATCCGCTGCGGCACCAAATCTCAAGAGACATTACAGTTTACGTTGAAGTAAATTTGGACTGTTACCGTCACTGAGTTTGTATCTGAAGTGGACGGTTTTAGTGTTGCTCTTTCCCATCCCTGCGCTCCACGACGCGTTTCCTCCTTGTATGGACTCATCGAGAAGAAAGCTTTAACTGGTAATCGAACTCGACACATAGGGATTGACGACTAAAGCCTTTCTCACTCGACCGTTGAGCTCGTCGATCAGCCCTTCACTCAGTGGTTTGAATTTGATGCCTTGACGCTCCAGCCATGCATCTGAATTGAGACGCACACTCAATTGCGACCAAGGATTACTTTGACTTAAATACTGATCACTATGGTTAGTGGAATCGCATTCGAAGTGGCAGGTTTCGGAGTTGCTGGCTCCCAGTACCCCACTTCACGACCAGTTTTCTCCCTGCTTTAACTCTTCAGGTAGATATAACCGAAACTTGAGTCAAGTCGATTGGAACTCCTTCGCATAAGATACGGGTCATTGGTCGTTTGGCTTAACTTGTGTATGGAGTCTGCAATTGTTTTGTAACGCCTACTTGTCAGTGTCATGTGCTCCTTACAGGAGCACGCCCATCCACACGAATGTGGTGGCACCGGGTCCCAACCAACCCTTAGTACAATCCGTAAGCCCATCTGATAAAATCCACTAAAAAGGTGAGCAGCTTGAGCTCTAGAGTGATGGCGAATACATCTCCACCCTCACCTTAGGCCCAGTTTTTCTGAGTGCAGTGCCATCGGTGCATACAAGCGCAGCACTCGTCGAGCGGCTCAATGCCGTTTGTGCCTGACAGTACCGATCACAACACTGTTCTTCATGTGAGACCTACCGACGTTATTGATTGATACTTCTCCGGATTGAAATCATCGGTAATTGATGTTGCATCTTTTTCATAGATGGCGGATGATGTTCCCATCTTGGTTCTTCAGTTGCGTGCACTTGCTATTCTTCCATGTGCTACGTATGTGCTCGAATCCCTTCTCGCTTAACGATAGAGGTCAGTGTTTGTACCTCACTCACCAGCGAGGCTTTCTGTTTGTCGTCCCTGCGGCCATGAAGCTGAAGGATTATTTCCCGTGCCAAAACACTTCCACCGCTTACTGAGCGCTTTCTTCATTTGATGAAGCCTACGCTTCATGCTCCGATAGGAGGCCTTAGCGCAACTGATCGAACACATGGTTCGTATGTGTCCGAGTCTTGTAATGACACGCGACCTACTCCCTCTCAATGACTTTGGGGTGAGTTTGCCATCGTTATCAGCATCGTTTGCCGTCGTTATCAACATCCCTGCAACCGGCTCCTTTCTAATCGCACAACTATTCGGTTCCCGCTTGCTAAATGTGACCGAAGATGTATCCACTCTCCTTGACATTGGAGGATGGGATTCGCCATGTCACATTGGCCTGCAACATCGCCCAGTGGCGTAAGCCGCTAGCGGTCGTAGTTTGGATTCTCTAAGGATTCGAAGATTTGCTGCCGATCAGCCCGGGTTGCTGTCTGTATGACGGAATCTGACTGCAGGGGCTCACTGATGACACAGTACCCTTTTACCCCCGAGGACTCTTGCTTGACGAATTCTTACTCTTGTGTGTTCCTCATCTATTCCTCACTGAAACGTGTGATAAGAAAAGAGCGAGGCCAAATTCGGATGACCAGTAGGAATATCGCGTAGGATTGTTTGCACCTTTAGACGATGTTCTCCCGTCGTTTGCGATGCAGACCTTCTCTCTGGCCTATTTACTCCCTTGCAATACTGCTTCGCTCACTGCATACAACGCGCATGCCAGTCTATTCCCGCTCATTCATATTTTCATAACCTCTTCTGCAGCTTGATCTAGTTGGTGCAACTCATCTTGTCATTCATCCACGGGTTACGACGGGACAAGCATTCAGAACGCTTTCTCTATTCATGGTCACCTCATTTTCCTTGCAATTACAGGGAAAATATTTGACATCTAATTTCAGGGAAATTTCCCTCTTGCCCCAGAGTTGTTCCACTTCCCGCCCACCCCTGCGCACTCCCTCGGGGATGACCTACAGAGTTAGCTAATTACTGTCCTTTGCCCAACAAATTAGCCCAACACTGCACTGGATCCACCGAAATCCTCTCCACCCTCGTTCGTTCCACGAATTCGCACCTGCCGTTTTAAATTCTCATCGCACCCGTGTTTGCGGGTGTGCGCACATCCCCCCCTCCATTGCCGTCCACCTTTGCCTCCGTTTGGTTTTGCCACTTTTTAATCACTTATCGATCATGGTTCATGTCGCTTTTCCTGGCGCACTGCTGCGAATGAAACTCACTGAATGCCACTGATCCACGCGTGGTAATTAGCTTGGTCGATTAGTTGGTTGGTCCATTTGCCCCATTATTCGTCGACTGTTCTGACCGTTGTGAGAGGAAAAACTCGGAGTCGTTCCATTATTCAGTGTAATCTAACATCAGGCTGTCACTTTTTCTTAACTAAATCAACAGAAGTACTCGTTAGATGCATGAGTTCACGTTTAGGGGTACGCTACCTGCCTATCGAATGCAACAACGACTCGAGAGATTACGTTACTCTCGTCTTTAACAAGGGAGACGGCGAAATCGTACATCGCAGATCTTGAAGACCCTATCCAGCATGGTGAAGGTGTGATGTCAGTGGTACTTGTGTTTTCGGTCCCATACCCCCAGTTGACCGTATCTAACATTTCAAACGTAGTAGTGATTGTGGAGTGATTTGCCGATTTCAGTGAGTATACGAGGTAATACGGTGTCCTGTTATAGCAAACTTTCTTTATCACAGTAATTCCAGGATCTGCGTTGAGTTATGTGCTATAGGCCGTCATCTTGGCTTACCACACCAACCAGGCGCTACCTTGTTCTTCCTCACTCTCCATCTCTGCGGTCGAAGTGATTATTGCGGACTGTTGCCTGCGTCATCTTCTAGACCATTTCTCGCTCAGTTGCATCCAAACTACAATCGATTTCTCACTCAAGCTACTCAAGCTTGTTCGTACCTCAATCAAAACATACCCAGCGTCAGTACATGCATGCAAGGGACTCATGGATGAATATGCTTGTGTTATGGATGTAATTGACCGAGATACTCATGAGTGAAACTTTCATACGTGACCAATTGAAAAATGCGGTCTGCAGACGACTTGGCTCTCTTCGAGTAGGTTTCCGCTTTTGTGCCATCGCCGCGCAACGCTTCGACTTGAGCTCAAGCTAGCGTTTCAGACGCTATCGATACTTCCAGTCTTTGCTGGCGTGTGTCAGCCCCTTGAAATAGTCACCTGGTCCGCCTTAATGATTTATCCAACTAATTAGTGAAAATACAAT